GTGCATGCGTAGAAGTGGGCAAAGAAAGAAAGAAATTCACGTTACCTGCAGTCGACGTAATCGTAAGTCCAAAGAGGAACAATAAACCCAGCTCCATTAAACCCAAATTGCACGCTGGTTAACTTGCAGGCAAAGGTGAACTGCAGGACTGAACCGTTCCAGGAGGAATCACTTCAGGTTGGAGGCAGGGAATATCCTGGGGCTGGCGGCACACGCTGCTCCCGGGAGTCAGCTCCCGCACGGAGGTGTGATTAGCTCTTCTCCCTCGCAGTTATTTTCCTCCAGTGCAAACTTAGTCCTGAAGGGGAGAGTGTTGTCAAAAGAAGGGAAGATCCATGGCTCGGCTTTTCCCACACACACCTCCCACCCCACCCCCAAATCTGATCAGCAAGCGGAGCTGCTGTTTTCCAGCTGCAGACGCCTCCCACCCGCCGACAGCTGCCGGCCTCCCCCGGGGCTCGGGCCGGGGGCGGGCACGGCCCCGCACCGCCCCCGCTCCCCCCGGCAGGTAAAGCGGGGATAGGGCAGCACATCCTCCCGGGAGCGCCGGGGAGGCACAGCCTGCTGTGCTCCTCTGAGTTCAGCTTTTAAATGACCCGATCCTGTTGCTCCGTGTCCGAGTCCAGGGGGAATCGCTTTTGTGATAAAAACGCAGATTTTGAGTCAAAACTGAGCTACAGATTTGAGAGTTGTTTGGGGCTTTTTAAAATTCTTTTTTCCCCGAGAATCTGCCACTGATTTCCCTGGGTGAAACTGAGTCATTAATTTATTAATACTTTCTTTTCCCTACTTATATGTGAGCACCTCTTTGCAGGCAAACCCACCTGGAGTGCAACACTTAAGACAAATTTTATATTTGCCTGATAGCTGGGTCTAGAACACTCCAGCCTGTGGCCCCATTTTCTATCTTATCAGCTATTAAGTGATAATAAGTAAGGGTTTAAAGTAATTGGCTATATCTTTCCTTGCAGTAGTTTGTGTAGTACATCCTGTTATGGGAAAAGCATATGGAGAAAGGTTGCAAACTTAATTGTGAATATTTTAAATGAAATTCTAATGTTTCATTTATGAATGTTTCAGTATTAACAGAAAGATCTGTAGCCACAATTTCTTTTATGTATCATGCCAATTTAACACTTGTACTAACACCTGGTTTGCGAGTAGAAAACTGATTGGAGGATCACCCAGGAGTTACTCAAGTGAGGAACACTGTTGTCTACACATTCTTCTCCAGCCCTGCCCCCGACTCCAGCTTCTGGTATGGACTATCCAGTAACACTTGCAAAGAAACCTCATTAAGATGTCATGTTTTGTCAGCTTGTCAAGCCTTGCCTTTTGTCGGTGCCTGAAGATTGAGGGTTTTGTAGTGGGCATATTCCCAGCTGGTCACAAAAGCACGATGGTCCCCAGGCAGGGCAGTAGGCTCCAGTGAGCCCACAGCTCTCTGTGGAAATCTCAATTGCTCTTATTTCATACAGTTTGTGCAAATGACAAGACTTTATCATAATTAATACAGGGGGGAGTAGAACCCCTGTAAATTACTAAATTCAACAGTATATTGAAGTTCATGCTTGAGCTGGGAAAGAAGTGCTTGCTCACCTTTAGGAATGAGGAACTGCAGTGACCTGAATGTTTGTACCCTTTGTTTTGCTGGGCTGAGGGTCTGTGGGTGTTCAAGTCGTGCTCCCCAAGCATCAGCAGAGTTACAGTTCAACCTCACAGTTCTATGGGTGCTCTGTTTTGAAAAATATTGTGACAAAACACCTCTGAGAAAAGGAATTGCTTTGAAGTTATTCCCATTTCTTATATATCTAGAAAAAGTTATTTGCTTTATATCAGAAAGTTCTAGATACCATGCTCTCGTGCTGTTGGATACAGGATTGGTTTTGACAATTGCTTATGATTGTGTTTATGTTTTATGTGTTTATGTTTCATGTATTATGTTTTAATTATCAGGAAAAGAAAAAAAAGATTTATTGTGCAGTTACTGTTTAACAGAACACTGAGTGAGTGGGAAGTGATTACATGTTGCAGGTATTATAAGTAATAATGACATTATTCTACATTCTGATTGATTAATTTCATTTTCGTTATTGCAACAGTTATTCATTTTTATAATAATGATGCAAATTTATCATAGAAATGAGAAATATATAACTGTATCATACGTATAGATATGTCAACAACAAAAGTTGTGTTGTGTGTAAACTGATTTAACATTTTCCTAAAAAGTATTCTGCTTTCTACATGAAATTTTGAAGGCATCTTCTACATTGCTGTACTTTTTCTTCCATGTGCTGTTTAATCTCTGAAGAGCCAGGGGAGACCATATCAGCACCCAGCATTGTGCAAACAAAAGGAGTAATAAAACATATTCTTAAATCAGCTACCAGGGTTCAGAAATTAAGGGCGAGGGTTTGGCCAAATGACCTCATGTAAGCTTTAGAAGAAGATAAGACATAGACTCTCTACAGGAAGAAAGATACCCTCATCAAATGAATTAATACTCCTGGTACTGCAGGTCTGATTCTCATTTACATTGATTATCAAGTTGTTTGGATCATATATTACCTAGTTACTTGAGAACTTTCTGTTTCATAAATACAGCTCTCTCAAAACAAGAAAGCTGGTTAAGGAAATATCAACAAATACATTTTTAAAACCCCATCTCTGTTTTGCTTTGGGATAAGAAATAAAAGCTATCTGGATACCATTGTCAGTGATAGTCATACATGATGCAAAATAGTTTTGTAAATCTATTTAATGATTATGTTTTCATTTAGTAAAAAAAAAAGGAATAGTATCCTTGAAGGTAGAGACTGGAAGCCAACAGATTTAATTCACAGTATTTTTCAGCTTTTCCTTTAAAATTGTTTTAACTTCATAGATTCCTTTTTCTTTCCCAGTTTCAAGATCTTTAGGGTTGATGGGTACTTTGCCTAAATCTTGAGAGTCTTGGACAAAATGTGTAGAGTTAATCCTTCTCTTTATACCTTCAATATTCCCAATTCCAGCACATCCCTTCCTGCCCTTGTGCAGCCCAGGCTGGCAGTGCTGTGAGTGCCGGCTCTTCTCTCCACAGACAATGGGAATTCCCCAGTCCTGGGACACTTCCTCATTCTTAGGGCCACCCAGGCAGCTGAAGAAAGACAATCAGCAGATCTGCCTCGTTGCTGGGTATAAATTTTGTGTATTTGAGAACTTCTAATTGACTGGAGGGAGAATAATCTCAGGGATGAGGTCAAGGCTGAAGGAGTCCTGGAATGTGGAGCAGCTGAAACAGATGATGTTAAGGAAAGTAAGCTCAGATTCCAGATTTTATATGTGAAAACCCCAGGCTGCCATTTCAATTAGGAACATAATCTTGGGTTTGTTTAGGACTCGTCTGCCCCTTGTATCCCTGCTTTATACATCCACTCCTGTGGTGGTGGGGCAATCAGAGCCCCCAGCAGTAATGCCACAGCATTTAACCTTCATCATACAGGTGACTACACCAAGCAGTTGTGAGTTACAAAGAAGTTCCAGATGTGTTTAAGGAAAGTTGGTTACTGAGAGAAACCACTTTAAAAGCTGAGTTCCTAGGATGTATTTACACGAGTAATAAAGCCTGTAGTTAAAAGGTAGGGTAAGGTTTCAGCAGCAGTGCAGGATTTTTTGGCACTGATGCCCGTTCTTACAGCAGGCCAGGAGGAAAGCCTGATCAATACAGATATGGTACTAAATAAAGACAACCAGTCTAGTGCTTTATAAACCATTCATATCTCTTTTCCCACCCTCTTGCTTCCTTCTTAGTCACCGTGGTTTTTAGTGTTATTGAAAGGAAAGGTTATATTAAGCTGCAGACACTGTGTTTAGTAGCACACTGCATTGCTCTCACAAAGTGAGCAACTTCATAGTGGTAGCTGACATTGGAAAAATGTGCTGAAATCAGTAGGTTCTCAAGAAAACCTTATCTTCTGATTATTATTTGTAACTTTTTGCTGGAGTTCTATAGGCAGAAAGCTGAAGTTAATCTCGTCTCCCCTCGTGTTTCAGACAGCCGCATTCAGAGCCCTTTGATGTCAGTGCAAAGAATCCCATTTTTAGTGGCCTTTGAACCAGATGTAGTAAAAGGGCAACTGAGCATTTGTAGGGCTTGCAACTGGGTAACTTGCTTAAAGGAGGAGAGCTCAGACACTCGTTTCTGTTTTCCCCTTTTTTTTATTACTTTTAGTATTTATATACCATTAAGAGTAATGTAGATACTTGGTAGTGAAGAGGACTAATGCCTCAGATCTGACTCTGTTTCGCTTTATTTAGATAAAAACAAAGTAAAGAAGGAGCTCTGTGGCTGTTTTTCAGCCACACAAATTTAATGATTCCTGCTTGTTACAGCTATTGTGAAATTTAAGAAGGAGTTTGCATAAGATAACATATCCTGCTGTTGTAATGTACTGGAGACAGGGCTCAGATCTCTGGATAAGGAATGCTGAAAAATCCTAAGTGTTATTATCACTACACACCACTCTCCCCAGGATCTGAACCTGACCTCCTTTCCTCGATCCAAACAATCTCTGTCTTTGTGAAAATAACAGGATTTAACAGGAAGAGAATTTTCTATAATTATGCGAAACAGTTCTTTTCCTTCACATTTATTCATGTTTGGGCATGTTACTGAACAAAGAGAATTCCATATCAAAATGTGATCAATCTGAACACTTCTTGTGTTTGTAAAGAATGGACAGGGGGCTGCCAGCAAATAAGCTGGAGGTGAAAAACTGAGGTGGTTGTCTTGCCAAAACAACTTCACACATTTAAAAAGGAGCAGGGACTTGGGAGGGACAGCTTGTTTCTGGAGGTACAATGGCAGGGAAGAAAACTTGAGCACCAAAACAAATCTTTTTGGGCAGAAGCCAGTGTGAAGGGTGGTGTGGAAAGGGAGGGAGTGGTGTGATGTATAAGGGTTTGGGTCTGGCCTGGTTTTCCTTCCTCAGCAGACTGGTAGGAAACTTGTGGTCAATGATTTGTAGTGTGAGTGGCTGGAGGAGTCTGGAGTCCTGGGAGGGGAGGGGAGTTGTAAAGATAAGCTGGAGGAAGGGGGCCTGAGAATGGGGATGTCCCCAAAACTATGGCTGACCCCCAGGTTATTATACAAAAAGTGAAATCCACATGCTTCTCTGACAGCTCCTCCTCAAGAGCTCCCGTTCTTGGAGCTGAAGCCTGCCTGGATGCCTTTGAAGAGGCGTTTCTTTGCATTTGTTGGAAAACCAAAGGACCACAAACCCTGAATCCACTGTCCTGCCTGGAGCAGAGCCTGCAGGGAGAGGTGCCCTGGGGAGAGGTGAGTGTTGGCCAGTGCCACTGTTGTGCCCTGGGAGCTGATGGAACACCAGTGGGGGGGTGAATGGGATGCTACTGGAGCTTTTTACAGCTCTCTTTGAGCAGAGATGCAGCAGTTTGGGTGGAAAAGCCTAAAGCTTGTGCTGCAAATCATGTGGCTCATAGCCCTTCTGACTGTAAGAGCTTTATAACATCTGCTGGCTTTTAATTAAGAGCATGAATTTTGCAGAAAAGTTTGGCCTCTGTAGGTTCTGATGATTCCTTTTTGCCTGGTTCAGCAGTTTTAGGGCTTTTCTCTTGCTGTGGCTCTGTGATGTGACTTGCAGGTGACTGCAAGTATTAAAAATACCCTGTGCTGGAGCCCTGAAACACAGGAATATCTATTGCAAATCCATAGGTGAGACAGGTGTTTTCCAACAGCCAGTCTTGTTACATAATAAGGGCAGTCTGGAGCAAAGCTTAATGTAATATGTGGTGCAAAAAAATGTGCACATTGATGGCAAAAACCTGATTTATTGTATATTATGTGCCCAAGTGGACCAGACTGTTAATGTACAGCAGTCAGAATGCTGTATGATAATAATTTATTCACCTATATAAAAACCAAACAGGCTGATCATAACCACCTTTACTCTGTAGCAAATCTCCTCAAATTTGTACTTGACAACATTTGTAAGAGATTAATGTTTCTGGTGCTGCTTTGTAGTATGAAGAAAAGTTCTGCAGCAGTTACCAGCTGCTAATGAAGTTCATTACTCCTTATTGCAACTTCTTGGTAAATCCAATTTTAAAGACAAATACAGGTCTGACCATTTCTGTTTTGGGAGGATCCACAGCTGAGACTCATCAGTTTAGCAACAGACTTGACACCATGTTTGAATATATAACCTTTCCTCTCCCCAAGTAACTTATCTCTCACTAAGAAAAGACTTTCAGAGAGAAATAAACAAGTGTCTGCCTGTATGAACTAGTAAAGGGAAAATAAAATGAAAAATGAACTTGTATTATTTAAACAGTATGACATGACAAACTGCAAGTGCTGCTCACACCTAGCCCTCTGAAAGCAGCTTGCTTTGTTGATAAGCTTTGATTGAACCTGAACCTTGAGTTCCTGAACCTATTTCTGTGAATAAATTACATTTTGCAATGGCATTATATTATAATCCTCCAGATTTGTTGGGATGAAATCACACAAATGTCTGAACACAAAGACAAGGCCAAGCTGGGCATCAGTGTTGTGAGTGATCTGTCAGCCCTCTGGGATTATTCCAGTTTGGTGCAGAGGCTGAGCAGCTCAAATCATTCTGGTCCCTGGAAAGGCTCAGGGGGCTGCAGAGTGAACTCTGGGGTAACACCTGCAGATCCTGTGTGCAGGTTGTGTGGCCCAGGGCTGCAGAGTGAACTCTGGGGTAACACCTGCAGATCCTGTGTGCAGGTTGTGTGGCCCAGGGCTGCTGCAGGTTTGGCCAAGGGAGGTTAAGGAAGCTCAGGCACTGCCGAGGTGCATGTGCAGTGTTCCAGCCCTTCCTGCCGTGCTCAGGGCGCTCAGCTGGGTTTGTGCTTTCTGAAATTCCACTGAGGTGTGCATTACAGACCTAGCATGTCTTATGGCAAAGAGGTCATTGCCAGGCAGATCCAGGTTACCAAGCTGTTTTCAGCTTGAGGTGCTGTTGGTAAATAACAGATGGCACAAATATCCAAAGGAGCTCCAGTTAGGAAATTAATTTCTGTGGAAATGTGGTGTTTAGTCTGGTTTGTTGGAAGAACAAGAGTTTTCAGCATCTTCCTTTATGGTTCAAAAGGAACAGCCCTTTCCAGAGGAGGCAGAGGGCTGCAAAGTAAACACAGGGAGTTAGGAGATGAGTATAAACCTAATGGAACATGGGAATTCTGAATCTATTTATCTGTTCTCATTGACGTGGTTGTACTTATTGTGGAGGGTCTTGACCTCACATTCAGCTTAAGAACACAAGCCTGGGAATAACAGCAGTGCAGAACTTCAGGCATGGGAGGATTTCTGTACATTTAAGTACATGAGTTACCTTCTGTGTGGCTGAGACATCAGGTTAAGAAGAAAGCTAGAGGGAGAGTAACTGTACCATACAACCTGCATGGAAGTTCTGAATGCAGCTAATGGAGCTTTCTCACATTTCCACAACTGCATTTCACCCTCCCTTATCAGGATTGCTAAAGCAAGTTTCAGTAAATCAGATTATACTGAAAGAGTTGGTGCCCAAAGAGCGTTCTTCCTGAGCTCCTATGGCAGGTGATGCTTTGGCATCAGCCAAAATAGGAGAGAAAAGTGGGGAAATGGGAAAGATAATGAGGAAAAACAATAGAAAAAGGATGGAGAAAAGAGAAAGTCAGTTAACTCATTTTTCACAGAAGTATCTTTTCCATTATAAAGACAACAGAAGCAAACAGGAGGGGGAATAAACAAAAAGTTAAAAGATACAACAAGATATTTGTAGGGGATGTAGAGAAAATGAATAAAGAAACAGGGTAAAGGAAGAAAATGAGATGTTAATCTCTGGCCAAGGGAAAAGTTTATCCCTCCAGCAGCGTGCCTGGGATCTTGCTTCTGTTTTTTTGCCTCTGAGTGCCTCTTTAAAGCAAAGAGTTAAGAAGGCACCAAGCTGTTTAGAGTGGTTGCCTGTCATTTGAGCTTCCCAAGTACTCTGCTATTTCCCTGCTGAAAATTCTTCAGCTGCAAACATTGTCAAGCCATGGTTGTGGTGTTACGGGTTTGGAGGAAAGAGCAACTCGGGGATACCTTCTTATTACAGAGTTACTTTTCATATATTTTAGAAAATACACTGTGGCAAGCAATGAAAAGAAAATTGAGGCAAATTAGAAAAAAAGCAAGTTCAAAAAGCTGTTTCATTCTTTGAAGGACTTGATGAGGGAGGGAATGAAGAAAGACTGGAATTTGTACAACTCCAAGAGCTTGGCTGCATTCTTTTGTCAGTATTTTTATTGACTCTCACTTCCAAAGAAACAATGATGCTTCAAGCTGTTCTCTGGAGCCTGGATATACCTTGCTGACCTAAGGAGGCACAATGCACCACAGCTGTTAGCAAGGGTCGTGTGTGGTGTTTGAACTGGAACAAAAGAGCTGGGATCACTCTTCTGTCACTCTGAAGTGCAATTGTTTCCATGCCTGTCCAGTTTTGAGTAACAGCATTTCACACATTAGAAAGGCCATAATGTAATTTATTATTCCTGGCTCTGAAGTAATTTATTATTGTTTTGACATTTTTTCCTTTTACTGTTTTATCTTTTCTCAGTCAAGGAATAGAGGAGTAGGAGTCAGAGTTTCTGCTTTTGATATTTGCAGTTTTGCCAGCAAAGTTTAACCTGATGTGTGTATGAGCTAAAGTCAGACTGGTAGTGACTCTATAATGACAAATAACTGATGAGGACACAGGGCTTGTATTCACTTTGTGATGAGTCAGAACCTGCAGGCAAGGATCTTCTCTGTCCATCATGGCCATAATAGTGACAGGCAGAAAATCACTGACTACAGGGTAGCTGCAAAAAGCAATGAGGATTATTATAGGCTCCAGTTAAACAGCATAAAATATGAATTAAATAATTATTATCAGCTTCTCCACTAAATCTCGTAGATGTCTGACCAGCTAGAGTGTCATTCAGGTACCTTTATTTGCTATTAGTTACTCTGAGAAAAGAGCATGAGTTATTAATGAATTGTAACCACTGCTTTCAAATAGTTTCTATCTTGAATTCTGAAAATGCACTGAGGGCTTAAAATTTGCAGAAGACAATAAAAATACATAATACATACAATATACTATAATATAAATATATATAGTATATGAACTAATAATATAAAAATACAATAATACAATTTTAAAAGGGTGGCATTGAAAACAAGGAGATGTGAGCAAGGAAATACTGTTATACAGCTGGAAACTGGCCACCCAAGAAGATCTGGCAGAGAAAGTAAAGTATTAATAGCATTATTAATCTACTAAGTTTTACTGCCAGTAAAATAACTAGAGAAGGCAAGATCAAGGAGGAGAAGTTATGAGGCAGCAACACAAATAATGTAACAAATTTACAGTTCTCAGGGGTATTGAGATTGTGGTTCCTGTTACCAAACTGTGAGAGTACACAAGGACAGCAGCTGTGCCAAATGTCCAGATACAGCAGTTCGCAGTGGGATAAAGGGCATGACACTGTTTAAACTCAGTACTCTTCTCATATGTGGTAAATCCTCCATAATTATTTACTACAGAAGCCATTTTTCATGGGTTTGAGGGGAAGGGTTGAATACTGAGTTAATCAATGCATTTCTTCTACTCTCACTCTGCAGAGTTCTGGCACCGTGGCACTGGGCCACTGGAACTTCTTGTCTGTTTTGCCAAAAACTAAAAGTTGTTTTCCTGATATTCTGGAGAGGTTTTTTTCAGACAAACAGTTCCTGTGATTTCAGATTGTCTGACTGAGACTGTCATTCATGAGAAGGTTGGGTCACAGTTCACACTTTTTGTGGAACGACATCCTTCCAGTCCATCACCACTCAAGGCAATGCCACACCAGGCGCTGAAACCTCCCTTGTGCTTCCAGCCTGTGTTTCACAGCAGTGCCTTGGCAGGAACATGTTAAGCTTTGATTAAAGGGGCATGTTTGCTTTCAATGAAGAAAATTCTGCTCTGAGCCTGAGGTTTTCTAATAAAGTTCAGACTTATTTTCCAGTTTTCAATGAAAATCTTTATTCACTATTTTATTTAGTTGTTCTTGCCTTCCTGATGGTCACCACAATGATTCTATGATAAACTTTTCAGTATATGCTTTTTGGAGCTAAAGGACATACTCTAGAGCATTTGGCCTCCCTGGAAATGACATGAAGATATTTTTATTTTATTATAATGTTTGGTTTGTAGCATCAGCTTAAAGGGCCAAAAGAGAAGGATGTGATTGTTTGATCCACTGCATATGCATAAGTAGTGGTTGCTACTTTCCTCTGTTCTGATTGTT